TCTTATAGCTGTTTTACATTGACAATTTATTGATGAATAAATTGACGAAGTTCTTCATGAATTAATTCACGAATTTATTGGTAAACAGTGTGGTTTTACACTGCTACAGACTTTGTCAAGTTTTTTGACGTATGAATCAGTTCTACCAATGAATCAAAGAAGCAAATAAATTTCAAAAATGTCACCTTTCCACTCATAATTGTAATGATACAACAGCGGTACCGTTCTGACACATATTATATAAATATTAGTTTTTGTAAGTAACATATCAGTAAAAACAATGCAAAACTAGTACGACGCCACACAATTATTTACATATTCCAATAACATAACCACATTACTGATCTGAGGCTGGAAATCTGTTGGGTTGGTACTTCTGAACTACACGAAAAAATTGACGAAAATTAGAACATGCTCAAATTCGTCAAGAACTTGATGAATAAATTCATGAAGTTATTTGACAGCAGATTTGGTGCATTACACTTGTCCAATTTCTTTATGAAGCGACTTCATGAATTAATTGATCAATAAATTGTCAAATATAAAACAGCTATTAGGAAATCCGTAAAGAAAAGAAAAATTTCCCATTTTAGACAATATTTGGCTCTACGCGTTTTTGGGACTACTCACTACAAAAGGCCCCAGAGTACGACAGCCTGTGTATTTTTTATAATACCTCCTTAACTTGACTAGGCAACAGTGAATCTATACCTTCCCAAGAAATACAAAGAGCGAGAATTTACATCATAAAATCCCTGAATAAAAGAATATTTAGCCGATGACTGAACGGGCCTCGTTCTGACTGGCGTCAACATTTAACGAGCCGTCCGGGGCAATTTCTTTGACAGATACAAATTTTTGGAACTTCCGCGCCTCTTCCACATCCAATCGCAAAGCCGCCGTGCCAAAATAAATCTACTGAAAAAAGGTATCATAGAACGAGGAGGACGGGGCGTTATGAATTGCCGAAGCGTTGGCCTAGCAAATGGCCCATCCGGACAGCGACAAAGAAAAAATAAATTCGTGGAAAGGGAACGTCTGATCTCCATTCTTGACCCTAATATGCCCATATAAATGGGCCGTTTAAATTTTATTCCACGCTGGGGCGTGAGATATGGGCGTCGATTTGTACTTGGTAGGACTCACCTTTCCGCAATTGATATATTCGACGGCCGTCTCCCTGAAGAAGAAGTAGACGAAATCGCCCTGTGCCATGGAGCCGACAAAGTCGGGAGCTGCAACAAATAATTCAGTTAATAAATAACAATACTCTTGGTTGCCAACACAGAAGAAAATTGCGCGAAATTTCACTCATATTGCACTCAATAATGAATCATTTTCTGACCACACCCAATTGAGTGAAATTTTTACTCTATTAGTATGAGTGTATGACTGTTTGCAGAAGTGAGTGATTTTACTCAAATCTGAGTTTCTGCTAACTATCCCGTTAGTGACTTTTTACTCTATTAGAGTCATGTAAGATAAATTAAGCGTGAAAGCGATAAAGTTACGGATTGAATCCATTGAGTGAAATGATTGAGTACTTTTTCACTCAATATTGAGCATTTTGATAATTTTACTCTTTTGTGATATTTGAAATAAAACTGAGTACTTACACTCAAATATACACGAGAGAATTTTAGACTAAAGGAAAATTACATTTTTCAAAGGTAATTACGCATTTGAGGCTGTCGTAAACGTCATATTTTGGTTTATCTCGTCGAGCTACCCCAGATTAAGTAAAAAAAGGTTTTTGTACGTTGTCCAGAAATCGAGATAATGAAGATTTTGAAAGTAAGAGTGCTTTTGAACGCACGAATTCAGTTTTCGGAGCTGCCGAGTAGTGTTAACCCCACTCCGCAGCCCGCTAGAGTTAGCTCGCGCCGCGCTCGAATGCTTCGGTTTCACGCACAATTAAAAATGCAGAAGTAGCTAAAATTAACCACAGTATTTTTTTACTGAAAATATAAGTCTTCAATCTCTGTAAGAATTGACGCAGTAGCACTTATACAGCGGCCTATGGAATTTTTTTAAAAAAAAAATCTCGGCTCCAGAAGGTCGTAGAGCAACGTTTTTTTTAAATTCGCGTAAAAATGCCAGCAATTGATTCCTGTAATAAACATTATCGAGAAATGAAAATCGAAAAAGATATTCAAGAAAAACGCGACCAAACAATTTTTACTTTTTTCAGTCATTTTTGGACACTTCAAAATGAATAAAATGTGATCACTCCTTTTAACATGAAAATACAACTCTTAAGGAAAGAAAATGGGCCCTGATTTGTTTCTCTACGACTATTTGTCGAGCAAGAAGAGCCGATTTTCGAGATGACCTTTTTTTTCGAAAAATCTATACAGGGTGAGTCAGTTTTTTGTAGACAAACTTTAACAAGAGATATAACACATGTTTTTAAAAAGAAAAGTTCCTATAAACATATGTCATAGAAGGCTTCGCTTCCGAGATACAGGGTGTTAATAATAATAAATAATTTTTTTTTCTCGAATTTTCATTATAACTTATAAACGAATACTTAGATTTTTTTCATGTTTAGGGGATAATGCCTATTAATTAAGGGGCATAAAACAAGCGATAAGAATGTTCAAAAACTTGCACAGTGGCGGAGTGGAGGGGGTGCTCAACCCCTTTCTTAAACAGTACTTCTACGCCAATGACTATTTTTTAAAAAACTATCTACTATCATTATCTACATACAGTTTAACAAAAATAATGTCCCTTCTTCTGTTTCGAAATTCCTATGCGTTTCCGAGTTATTTTGATTTCTAGTGTTTGATGTGGTACTAAATGAAGTCATTTATTTATTATCAATTATCGGCTAAATATTTAATTCTTTCAACGAAACCTACCTAAATATGGTTTGTTAAGGATTCTAAAAAGCCGAAATCTCTTATTCTTTATCTCTTTCCAATGTAGTCAAAATAAATATTTGTTATATTCAACACCCTGTATCTCAGAAACGAAGCCTTCTACGACATATGTTTATAGGAACTTTTTTTTTAAAAACATGAGTTCTATCTCCTGTTAAATTTTGTCTACACAAAACTGACTCACCCTGTATAAGTCAAATATTATTTAATATTTTTAAATTAAAAAAAGGCACTTCTTTTGCAGCCGAGTGCTACATTTACGGCAAGTAACAAGTTCCAAAACCTTAATTTGCAAGAGATACAGCAAAAACAAAAAAGTCGGTTTTTGACGGTTTTTTCCGATATATCTCGAAAGGTAATATAGCAATTTAAAACTACTAATCGATAGGTTTTTTAATAGCTACAACTTTCTCATTTAACTTTTTTCGATTGGAGTTCAAGTATTTTTTTTATTAGCGAAAAACCGTTTTTTTGACATTAATGAATTTTTTAGATTAACTTCACCGTTTATGCACCACAGGAAAAAACACCATCTTTATTAGAATTATTTCCTATATTACCATATTTTTTTGTTTCCAGATAGTATTTTTTGTAAATTTAACATTAGGCCGTGCCAGATTGATTGGACTATATTGTCTCGAAAACAGATCTATGTAGAAACCACTGCGGCAGCTTAGTAGGTACTTTGACTTTAATACAATGATATTTAAATTAAAATTTAAAGAGAATATAAACCAAATTGGAGTAAAAAATTACTCAATAATAGTTAAATTTAGAGAAAAAGTTAACTGTTAATTGGATTTACACAGAATAGTCAAAAGTCGCTCACTTGATAGTTAGCAGAAACTAAAATTTGAGGAAAATTCACTCACTTCTGTTGCAATACTTTCACTCATAAAATTTTAATTGTATTCATACTAATAGAGTGAAAATTTCACTCAATCGGGTGTGGACAGAAATTGATACATTATTGAGTAAAATTGAGTGAAATTGAGTGAAATTTTGTTTACAGTGCATGATTTAAAATTAAAAAAAATACTTCAATGAAAGATTACATTATTTTTTATTTCAATACGCCAGGTATGCGTTATGAACAGTTCTGAAAAAAATTTTATTTCGAATGAAAGTAAATATAGATGTCTTTATTTTTCTAATATTTTGTTCTTCAATTAAATGATGCTTTCGAACTACTACATTAAATATAATGTAACATGTCTTCTCAAAACAATGCCAGAAAAATTTAAATGAATTTTTATTACAAAAATTGTTAAACTTGTTTTTATTTACCAAGTTTTGATTAAATACATTTTGGTAAATTTCCTTATCAAAAAACTGCAAACAATAGAACTGAATTTACTTTAGTGGTCAGTTTTGGAGATTTTTAGTGACTTTTAAAATTTATTTAATAGTACAAACTTTACTTGCACTCTAAATTTTGGAATTTGTTTTTATTTTAAATATTTAGGGTTCACTATGGTTCGCGGTTTGTTCTAACTATAATTGACTTACATTCGAAAAGTTGCTTTGGAGGACTTCAATCTGTTCAACAAATGAACTAATTTATTGCAACGTGTAAAAGGATACCACAAATACAGTGACTGGAGCAATTTCTTGACAAATTTTTAGAGCCAAAACTTGGTAAATGTTTTAGAAGTCATTCATTAATTATTATTTAAGTGTTATGTTAAATTTGAACTTCTTTCTCGCAGTTTGATGGGTTTCTGCTCCAGGAAAATATCTCAATTTCAGTATAGAAACGTATTTTAATGTAAACATTAATTTTTGTATTTACTTAATATATTCTGTTCTTGAACAGAAAAACTTTTAAAGGAAAAACGTTCCCTGAATGCGAATCTGTTTGCAAACATGATTTCAGGGAGTTGGATAAGTTGAATATAAAAAAGTTGGAATTGTGTTAAGCCAGATTTCGAAGGAAATATCTTTTTCATAGAAATGTTAGGAAACCAAAATTTTTAAATTATCAGTTCATGTTTAAATGGTTTACAAATAATTTAAGACAAATACTCTGCCTGCCAAAGTTGGCTTGGCACAAAATACCGAGTGATTAAGTTTGATATTCGCGGCCTTGTATCTCTTTTGTTTTATCAAATAGCTATAACAAACTCTATATATTTTTAAATCGCCGCTCAAACTCTATCAAATGACATTGCTAGATCGTCTCCATGGTAATATATGTTAAAATTGCTATAGTCAACTGTTTTTGTTCAAATGGCACACTATATATATTTTTTATCAATTCTGGAAGATATTTTTTTTCTGCGTTCAGCTATATAAAGAAGTCTATAGTTTCATTAGAAGTATTGCTAGAAAAACAGCAAAAAAGATGAACCCTACTTTCAGTAGCATTATTCTGAAAAGTGATAGCCAGCTGCGGAAACAACAGAATTTTGACGTTTCTAAATAACGGTTTTTCAAAATAATTGACATTTTGTACTTACCTATTCTATATATAACTAATTAATATTACTATAACAGGAATACTTATAGTAACCAAGAAAACTACATATAATTTTAATTTATGGAGAGTGCTGAAAGAACGCTAAAGCTGCCAGGAATTTATACCAACATCGTTTTCCGCAGAGACAACTTCCATCAGGTCAAATTTTCGGAATATTAGCCAAGAATTTGGCGGCAGATGGTTATCAAAAGAAAAGAAGAGTTTTTAAACCCAGAAGAGTAAGAGATGAAGAACATTCGATAAAAATAATAAATGGCCTGCTATATATTTCCGGATCTCATTCCTATAGATTTCTTTCTTTGGTATTACCTCAAAGAAAAAGTTTACTCTTCGTCTTTAAATGATATTGACGGCCTTAAAAACAGAATAAGAGTAGAATGTCGGAGATTAAATGAAGAAGCACTAGAATGTGTTTGTAGAGAGGAAGTGATAAACAGAGTTATTCTGTGTTTGGAAGCAAATGGAGGTCATTTTGAACATTTGAAATAAGTATTGTTTTAAATTATTATATTATTATCGTATTAAAAATAAAATAGGTTACCTACTTTAAGAAACATAGTAACTTATTTCCGCAGCTGGCTATCATTTTTCAGAATAAAGCTACGAAAAGTAGGGTGCATCTTTTTTGCTGTTTTTCTAGCAATATTTCTAATGAAACTATAGACTTCTTTACATAGTTGAACGCAGAAACAAAATATCTTCCAGAATTGATAAAAGAATATATAGGGTGCCATTTGAACAAAAACAGTTGACTATAACAATTTTGGCATATGTTACCATGGAGACGATCTAATAATGTGATTTGATAGAGTTTGAGCGGCAATTTAAAAATATATAAGGTTTGTTATAGCTATTTGTTAAAATAAAAGAGATACAGGGCGGCGAATACTAAACAGAATCACCCGGTATACTCAAAAGACAAAACTTAGAAATACATAACAACAAAAAATAAGCTTTATTTTAAAAACTATCGAAAAAATCTGTTTGTATAAATAACAATTCTTATTTAATATAATCGTTTTGCCAAAACCGGAATTAGTTTCCATTTATAATTTTGAAAAAAAAAAACAAGAATTATGCTATGATACATTTTAAAATTCCTAGGTATAAGACAAATGCAGTATTTTTAATAAGTGACTACATAAACTTGTGGTTTTAATGTGAAATTAAGGGGGAAATTACTTTCTGAAAATGTTCGAAAGAGTTTGTGCCACTATGTACACGTTGCCCTATGCCAGGATCATTGTGTAGAAGGGGAAATTTATAAGGCCACAACGCCACGCTACAATAGATTGGAGCCGGCGACAAAAAAAAAAACTGTTAATTATTTTTAGACATTTTGTGGAAAACTCACCGTTGAGACTCATCGAGTCGTATTGTTCCGTCTGTAAAGGTTCCCGGTAGATAATGGGGTCCATCCCGCTGAAATCGGCCACGGTCCCAGTGTACAGGTCGCCATCTGTAACAAAAGGTTGATTCTCTGTATTCGGTTACAATCGAAGAGGGATTTTCCAATGTTTAATTCTTTTCAGGTGGATGGTCAACAGAGACCGTGGAGGTAATTGGCTATAGTCCTAGTGTTGTAATAGATTTTATGGTTTACAATTGCAAATCATAGAATATGCGAAATTGGGGCAGATTATAGACAACCCTTGTAAAATTAAGAGTGATTTTCGTTTCATATATTACGTCACAAATGCTAAAATTAAATTTCTGGTTGCAATAATTTAATTTTAACCGTGATTTAATACATTATTATACAGGGTGATTCAGTCACAATGTCATTAATTTTAATCACCTTTAAAAAAAATAAGCAATTACCCCTTAACTCTCGTTAACTCGGCGCCCTATTTGGAATGTTGAAGAGAAACAGCTTATTTCCCCAGTCGTTTTGAATTTTGCAATTAGTTTCAAGATCAAACTGCATCGGATCCTAACTTATTAACAAAGTCCACGGATGAGAGTTTTTTTAGCCGTATTGTCATTTTAAATAAGTAGGTACCATACTACTTGTTGAAAAGCAATAAGTCACAAAATAAGGTATACGTACTACAGACTAAATAATTAACTGAATATAATACTAAAAATACTAAATAACCTAATATTTAGAAAGAATTATTATCCTTATAAATTTGTTAATATTTAAAATGTAAAAACATATCTTATTCATTCATGTCTCTAGGTAAAAAGATCTGTTTCTGTCGATCACTATTGAAAACGCTGTAAAAGTATATTCGTATTCTACTCATATTTCCCTGTCTTTCCTTAAAATTAATGACATTATGACGGAATCACCCTGTATATTGTGTCGAGAATTATGTCTACAAAAAAAAATAGAGAATGATTTCTAACCATGAAAATAATGGTAAAGTTCCTATAACATTTTTTCAAAAAATCAATATTATCAAAATTGCATAATGGTAGTTTATATATGGATTCAACGAACAAAAAAATCGACCTCTTCGATTTTTTGAAACTTTGGGATGTTAATCTACTTTGAATTTTGAGACCATGTTATTTTGTTTTTCCGAAAAAAATGTTTGTGCTGTGGCGCTATGTCAAAGTTTACGTCGTGATAGGGTTATTCCGAAAATGAAAATACATATTTTTTTCAAGTGGCCGTGATTTTGACCGAAATCATCCTATCGAAACGTTTGTTTTACAAAATGTGCAGATTTTCATCAGCTTTTCAGAATTCAAATTGCTTTAAAACTTTCCGAGATAAAAGTTATTTTTTTTCCAAACTGATTTTCTCAAAAACCCCAATTTTTATTTTCACCAAATTTGGATATGTTTTTCAAGGCCGAATAAACTATTTTTTTTTCAACTAAACAAAGTTGAAAAAAAATCGACCACTTCGATTTTTGAACATATACAGGGTGTACCATTTGAAATTTTTGAGTAAATTCAACTTCAACGTCACAATATTGGCCACACGTTTTTAAACACTCTGTATTAATTTTTGCTAATTTGACATAAATTGGTTGAATTCCATTGCCTTCAAATTATCCATGCCAAATTTCATTGATAAATAAAGCAAAATGTCGCAATTATTCTGTTTTTAAAAATCACTTACATCCTCAATTTTTTTTCGAAAATTAATAATAACTTGAAAACTGTCACATTTTGGCCCATAGTACCTTATATGAAAATAGTCCAGATTTGCCGTAGAATAAAAAAAACCCATAAATATACATAGTGTTCCATTTGAAATAACAGAGCTGATGATGAATTCCGGTACAACCGGAAGTGCGAGGAAGTTGACATTATTTTCAATGAATAGATCTTTTTGACAAACCCATGTAAACAAATTTTCAGATTTCAATTCTGACTACTTTTTGAGATGGGCCCTGTTCGTGATACACCCTGTATAAGTCCAACTATTATCAATTCATTAATTAAAGAAGAAATTTTAATTTTAATTCTAATTTTTTTTAATTTTGTCATATTCACATACTCGTTTCTAGGTAACATACGTAAATTTTAATTAGTTGTTTTCATATATTGCCCCAAAATATTAAATACGTTTTTTTTTGGAGAGTTTGTCATCCAGTTGAAACAAAAGCTTCATTTTGTAGTTATTCTTCTATAATATATTTTTTGGAAAATAAAAAAGTTACGACTGCTTTTCTAGAATTTTGTAGGTGCAGATTGTTACCAATAACAAGAGTAGGGAACTCAATTTGTTCTTCCAGGAACAAAAGTCTTTGTCAATCTGTCATATCTGCGTTAGGTTTGTTTAGGTTGGGTTAGTAGTGAGGATAGATTAGGAACCAATGATTTAGTTGTTCATACGAAAATTAAAATCTATTCCACACTAGTCTTTCCGATCTCATTTGAAGAACCAAGAGGATGGCAGTATGCAGGTTCGGTCGCTGACGCAGAAACTCGGCATAGAAATATTTGAAAAACTTGTTCTCATATTTATTTAGCCATATATAGGTCTGGTCGCCTAGTCGCGGGCAAACGCGGTACAAACATAGCCGGACTGGGCCACCTGGCCATAAATTCAGTTGTCAACAAAATGGCCTAGCAGTGCAGCGCAGCAATGCGGAATTTGGCGTGACTCAGGTAATTTAGGCACCTTCTATTAATCATTCATATTACAATTGCGAAAGGGATATTTTGTTTACTAATGTTATTACAACATGGCATTTTTAAAACGGGACAAAACGAAATTTACCATCAATATAGTAGAATTGTTTGAGGACATAAATAATTAAAATATGTTGTTTGTCAAATGAACATATAATAGAAATTTTCTACACATTATATACAAATTATTATAATTTTTTACCTTTAGTAGAATTTTTTTTAGGGACGCCTATGAAGCTTATTAAATTTTATTGCTACGCGTTTTTATACATGTACAACTAACTTCGGAAAGACTATAGCTCAACTTCGTGTATAAAAACTACCCAATTCTACGATAATCCACGCAGCTAAGTCGAATACCATGCCTTCCTCCCTTGCCTTTTTTTTTGCAGCGTATCGGAATCGCGCCCCGACGACGAACGTCGCGAACTGCACCGCTAAACTGATTTGTAAACCTGCAGACGGTGTCACCAGGTGACAGGGTAATTTGTCATATTAGAATTGAATCGTGGGGCTGGAATTTCACGCCGAGCGTCGGGCGTGGATTAATTCAGTTATCCCGCCGGGGGAAAGGGGGAGCCTCTCGTCACGTTCCGTCGTAGAGGAACATCAAAGGGCCTCGAGGACGTCGGGACGCCGACGCGGGAGCGGTACGCCGGGAATAACGAGCGAGTGTAATGAAGATGTTTTATGAATATTTCGACGGACGGACCTGCGGTCTGTTCTCACAAGCGTCTTCCGATCCGTAGCAGTGAATGGTCTTTGTTGAAATTAAATTAATCATGGGGAAAGAACATTTTATTCCAAAGGGTGCATTCAGAAATCTCCTTTGTGTGTACATTTCAAATTACTTGTAGGATATAATGATACATTTATAGATTTAATTCCACTAGTCTTGTTATAAAAGTCGTAAAAGACATTGTGAAGTACTTCATGAAATGTATGTTTCTTTTATCCACACGCTAATTTTTTTTAACATGGTTCTATGTCAGTCTGTAACAAAAAGTTTGCTGCTCTCTTATCTTTTTTCTCAAGGTAAAAATGGTACAAACAACTTTTATTAAGCAACTGTTGGTCTAAATGCTTCTATTTTCGAGAAAATTAATTAAGAAAATTAACCATAAATGTCGACACTGTGCATCTTGTGCACGTGCACGGCCAGAATCCTTTAGAAGCGCTTCTGTCATTGGCTGACGTTCCACGTGACCTCCACAATCAAACAAATATGATGGTATGTCAGTATGTCTTGTGTTCCTTTGTTGTGTGTTGTAATATTACTTAGCCGGCGTATAAAATGTTTTCTGATCAAGAACTTAGCAGATACGGTGTTAATGTACGGAGAATGTCAGTATAATTTAAATGAGTCGTTTGTATGCGGTCCGTTACCGTAACAGACAACAACCTAATAGTAGAATAGTGCAAAAGGCAGTTCAAAGGTTAGGAGATACCGGGAATGTCCACTTGACATATGAAGGATGTGGACGGAAAAGGCCGCAACATGTTTTCGACAACGAAGAAAACATTATAAACCTCGTTGAGGAAGATCCGAGGCACAGTACTCGCGACATTAGTCGAAAAGTAGGTGTATTTAACAGTACCGTATGGCGTGTTCTACAGAAATAATTATTACACCACTATTATGTACAAAGGGTTCAGGCATTAAATAACAAGGATTTCCAGCCCCGTGTGGAATTTTGCTAGTGGTTTCGACATCAAATAGCACAAGACCCGGATTTTACAAGCAAAATGCTTTTTACGGATGAATGTTGTTTTACTAGAGACGACATACTTATTAAAATTTCGGAAAGGTGGATAGGTGATGGCCCTGTACGTTGGCCAGCACGAAGTCTGGATATGAACCTTCTGGACTTTTTTGTTTGGAGTTGTATGAAACAAAATGTGTACTGAACGCCTATTGTCATCGATGTAGCAGATCTTCAACAGCGTATTTTTGTTGTAGCTAACGAAATTCGACAAATGTCGGGAGTATTTGCACGTATGCGGACTAATTTTCACCATCGTTTGGAACCATGTTTATTAGCACATGGAAACAACTATGAACAATTTTCGTAGAGCACATATCATCTATTGGAAGGTCATTCGTATATTCGTTTAATTTTTGTGTTACTTTTAAACGAGATTTGAATAAATTTCAGCATTTTTGAAAACAAAGTGTCAAAGCCGCCATCATTGCTTTTGCACTGCGGCAACTTCGACATCAAAGGTACAGCTGACTGCCACACCAGGGATGGCTTTAAATTTATTTAAACCTTCATGTGAATTTTTTTTTTCAATTTAAAATGTTATGTTTTAGATTTACACCATAAGTTGCTTAATAAAAGTTGTTCATTTTCGTGCCCCTCT